ACCCAGCACAGCGCTCCGTGGTTCAGGCAGAACTAATCTATCCCTCAGCTGTGCTCTCTAATCCAAACAAACAGATCTCTCCCCACCGGCATCTGGAACCCCTCACGTACCTAGAAACCACAGCAGCAGCCCCCGTCTCTTAGACAGTGTCTGTGTGCGAGCAGGTTTCTGTTTATCGCTGAGAATCAGTGTGAGAGCATACGACGGGTGTCAACCAGAGGTCACTACGCTACAAGTGCCAGGTTCACCAAGAAGTTAGTCTGTTTAATAAGAGCACCAGAAGGGGAAATACTGTAAAAGAAAAAGAACGCAGGTGAAAATTGTGCGGTAATTTCGTGTCTGAAACTTCGGAATTCGACGCACCACAAGGGCTGCACGATGTCAGGAGAGCCTGATAACAGTGCCTAATACTGCAGTGATGATATGATTTGCGATAAATGAACGAAAACTTCAGAATGTAGTTGATGTGTTTCTTCTCTGGGTTCAGCGAACCATTTCCAGCAGTTGCAATACAGTTTCCTAATGACACTGCCCCCATTAAACTTTTTTCTGATGCTCCGAACACTGAAAAACACCCCTTAATATCAGTGTTTTTTATACATAATAATAAAAAACATCTAAAATAAGTTAAAGAATTTGAAATAAAAGTTAGCAAACCCAAATCCAACTGCAAAGTCTCTCCTTGCGTTGGTCTGACTCCAACATTTTCTCCACGATTTGATGCGGTATCTTAAGTCCATTCTGTTCATCAGACTGATGCTGACAAAATGCATAAATGCAAACATTTGTGCCAAATGCTTATTGCAGTTTGTCAGTTTTTTTGCACAGGCTGTTATCGCGGTGACGATAAATTTACGATACACCCTGTGCAGCCCCATGCACCACCACTAAGACATACTTGGGCCAGATTTTTTAGTCTTTTTATAAGAAAACTCACAAGTAAACGTAGCTCYTAACCGTATCTCAAAAGCCTGAGTAAATAATGGATTATTACATACTTCGTTCCATTAGGGCTGCATGATATTAGGAAACCATGCGATGTGCGATAACAGTGCTTATTGCGATGACGATATGACTTGCGATAAATGAACAAATATGTATGTAGTGTTGATATCTTTCTGCTCTGGGTTCAAAGCCCAAAAAACAACCTACAAGAAACTAATCTGTTCCATTCCAGCCTGAATTTCTTTTTTTTAACTGACCAAATACATGAAGGGCTCCATTTGATTGGTGAAATATTTCYAGCTTCCATCTGAATGTCAAAACGCATAAATGTAAACTTTTAAGTCAACCATTTATTGCAGTTTATGCACTTGTTGCAATATGTATATTACACAGGCTATTTGCGCGATAACGACAAATTGTGCAGCCCTATGTTCCATGGATTCAAGTTTATTTATGTCAATAACATTTGTATTTGGTCAATTCGATGGACTCCCACTGCTTTGATGCCCACAACTGGTTTAGATATGGATGAAATGCTGAAGCACATGGAGATGGTTAGAAGAGAAAGAGATAAGTGGCAAAAATGTGTATTTTTTGCAACAATTCTTATTGCAATATTATACAATATTACATTTACATGCCTTTTTGATATTAGCCAACCCTATTTAATACCAATCCAAATTTACTCCAGCTTGAAGTAGCAAAGGATCTATTGTAGAGTCGGTTAGAATATGTTGTTTTATGTGCCCTCTTTTTACAAACCACCTGACCGTGGTCCGGCACATCAACAGAGTGTGAAAACAGTGCAAACCTCCAAGTGCAATCAAAAACCCTTTTACCAAAGAGACTCCACTGTCCCCCAACTGCCAACTGCGCTTGCGCAACCGATTAGACGGACACGCTGTCTGTCAGACCCCTACGGCAGCACGCAAGGAGAGAACAGGGGTGTTTGATCCGGGCACGAATCAGTCTCCTTTGATGTTCGAGCTCACGAACTGAATGCTCCTCTTTATACCACAGAGCAGAGCGTGCAAACAAAAAGGTAAACACGTGTGAATACATATCGAAAAAGAGTTTCTTGCTTTCTTATTAGTTCAACTAAGAGTACTCAATGGCAAAACCTGCCTCTCTCTTCCATTCATGACTACTACAGCCAGCTCTAAGTACAGGAATGCAGATCAAAGGAAAGGAAAAAAAGGCTCAGCCCCTTCTCCTTACCCCCCCAAAGCACCACCCATATGCACGCTCTCTTTTCCCCCTGGTTTTTACTGGTTTAGTCAACTCTTTGGGACAAAAACTACGTTTAGGAAAAGAAAAGTGTCACTACGGCTCCTACAAACACCAGCTTCTGTCCTCACTCTGCCTGTTCCTCTGCAGCCGGAAACAAATCTTTTTGGAAAGTTGAGAGCTGTCCAAAARGGGACCACACACAGTCTCTGAGCCTTCAACTGCTGGGGTCAGGCTCACACACACTCACACACTAACACAAACACACACACGCATACTCTCTCACAAAATGGCGGCTTTGACAAAAAATTTCCTCAACTCCAAGTGCTCCTTATGAGCTTAATTACAGCCTTCATGTCCTTGCACATTTTGTCTTAGAAAGTTTGAAATGCTGTAAAAATAAAAAAAACTTTTATTTTATTTTTTTTGCTTTAGTTTGAGGACTTAAACAAGCCTTTTTAGCAGGTCACACCAACCATTATTTCCTCTAGTTTAAATGATTCCCTATCAATCAACACATGCGGCAGGACACAGCACTGAAATGAAGACTGTGTCCAGCAGGTTGCATCAAAGCACACATCAATCAGAAATGGGTGCAGCTTATCAAAACAGTACATCAGCACCTTACCTTCCACCCAAAGCTTCTCCACGTCCGTTTCCAAATTAGCTGCTCTTAAGCCCACGGCAAAGGCTCCAAAAATCATGAGACCAACGACCAAAAACTTTCCACAGTTTTTCTGTATGTAACAGCCCAGCCTGAACAAAAGTCTCTGGAACTTCGCTCTCAGCCACAGAGGTGCTTTCCTCCCGGTTGCCTTCCCCTGTGATGAGACAAGAGTCACTGTCAGTGAAAGCATTAAAAACAAATGGGGCAAAAAAATCATGTGTGCTTTTTACATGACAAAAACACAATGTTTGACCCAAGGAAACACACATGTGGCACGGACACAGTGATGACAACAAACATGCTTCACAACAGAAAACTGCATCTTGAACTTGATCTGAGCTGGGTTTTAAGGCCAGTGGAGGTAAATCAAAGGAGAAAACTGAATATCGTGGAACAGAAATCGATTTAAATATGTGTACGCTTTGAATTATTTTTCAAATAGTCCTAAACTTAATGCTAAATTCTTAAGTGATCCCACATGGTTGCTCTAATAAGATCCATAATGATTGTTTTTGTCTGCCTGAGCAAACAAATGTGCATTTTTGAGGGTGTTCGGTTTGTCCCTGGGGGGCTTTCACTCCCACATATCAATACAGATGATGTTAAAGACCCTGAAAGGATGCATGTGGCAAAGCCCACCAAACACACACATATATGTAACCCCTCTCCCCCATGAAGCAGCCCGTGTGTTCTTGGTTGGGGAGCGGAGAAGCCATCACAGGGAGGGGGGGGGTCTCTGCAGTGTTTGTGAACGGAAGAGGGCAGCCACATGGATTTTTTTTCCCTTCTTCTCTCTCCATAAAGTTGAGACAGTGTCACACACTTTTACACCTTTAACTAGAAAGAGCCTGGCTGTTCTGAGTGAAAGGGAACGCAGCGTGTTTTGCTGTTCTGGGATGCAGCTGGGTCTAAAAAAAAAAAACTGAAACTTGCATCTGAATCCAGCTGCAGGAACCCCACACTTCTCCAGCCTGCAGTAGAGGCTGGGACCAGAAAGTTTGTCCACTTTTCCTCCCCGCACAAACACCCCCCACACAAAAAAAACGCAAACAGCAAACTTCTCATCTCTAGAGAAACATGAGACTAAAAACAAGCACCTCTGAGATCTGCTCCAGAGCAAAGCCCGCATCGCAGTAGCTCGGCCGCTGCAGATACTCCAAATCCAGCGGTGTGCTGCGGGCATAGTCCCCCCTGCTCCTGCGCGTCACCCTCGGCCGTTCGGGGTCTCCGCTTTCCTGCTCGGCGGGCGCATTAGCGGCCGAGGCCATGGTGCTGCGGGGACTGCGAGGTGGTCGGCGTTTCCCACTTTATTATGGTGTTCCCCACAAAGCGCGTAGCGATATCCCGACTCGTGGAGATCTCTTCACAGCCGCGAAGAAGAAGAAGAAGAAGAGGAAGAAGAAGAAGAAGTGGGACTTCATGCTCCTGTCGGAGGCGGCGAGTCAAAGTCTGCGCCTTCCATCCCAACATTTCGCGATCCGGAGGTCTCCCCCGCTTCCACCCGCTTTCACCCGAGCCTCRAAGAAAGCAGAGAAAACAAAGAAAAGCATGCGTTTCTCGTCTGAGGGGGAAAAAAGGAAGAGCTACGCAAAGAGATTCCCGTCCACGAGTGTTGGGTCAGGAAGGCTCGATGGTCGCAGCATTCTGCTGAGATCTATGTGGTCTTTCCCCTGAGCCGCGCGTCACGGCCAACTCTGAGATTCAATAGAAGGGGAGGAAAAAGACCCCTCTGCAGGCAGGGAAGGAGGAGGGGTGAGAAAAAGAAGAAGGAGAAGAAGGGAGAGAAAAAAAAACTCAAGATCCCGCCTCTGGGGCTGTCAGATTGCAGGACTTTTCTTGCATCTGATTGGTTCCAGGAGGGCAAAAATTACTCAGCAAACACGACTATTATTAGCTGCTTAGCAACAGCTCACTAAAGTAGAGAGACCACCCAGGTGGACACGGACCTCGCGTGCGCATCTCCGACTCTGGGGGGGCGGAGCGGCTCCGATAACACCGCGCTTCGGGTTCTGACAGAACACACACACACACACACACACACACACACACACACAC